AAAAAAAAAAAAAAAAAAAAAAAAAAAAAAAAAAAAAAAAAAAAAACTGCATTCAAAAATAAAACAATGTAAAACTTTAGAGCCTACAAGTCCACTCAGTTCTACTTCTTGTTCAGCCAATCGTTCAAACACATTTGTTTACATTTGCAGGAGATGATGCTGCCTGCTTCTTGTTTACAATGTCACCTGAAAGTGAGAACAGGCATTCACATGGCACTGTCATAGCTGGTGTCGGAAGATATTTATGTGCCCGATGCACTAAAGATTCATATGTCCCTTCATTCTTCAACCACTGTTCCAGAGGACGTGTCCATGCTGATGACGGGTTCTGCTTGATAGCGATTCAAAACAGTGGGGACCAATACTTGTCCATTTTCACCACTTGAGTCAGATGCCACCAACAGAAGATTGATTTTTCTTTTTTGGTGGTTCGGGTTCTGTAGTTTCCACATCGGAGTGTTGCTCTCAAGACTTCTGAAAGCATGCTCCACACCTCGTCCCTTTTGGAACGATTTTGGAAGGCACTTCAGATTCTTAAACTGTGGATCGAGTGCCGAATCTATCCGTAGAAATCTCACATTCATACCTTATTTGCGTTTTGTCAAATCTGCGGTGAAAGTGTTCTTAAAATGAACAACGTGCTGGGTCATCATCCAAGACTGCTATAACATAAAATATATGGCAGAATGTGGGTAAAACAAAAGAGGAGATATACAATTCTCACCCAAGGAGTTCAGTCATAAATTTAATTAACACATTACTTTTTTAACGAGCGTCATCAGCATCGAAGCATGTCCTCTGGAATGGTGGCCGAAACATGAAGGGGCATATGAATGTTTAGCATTTCTGCCACGTAGATACCAATGCCGGCTACAAAAGTGCCATGCGACCATCTGTTCTCACTTTCAGGTGACATTGTAAATAAGCGGGCAGCATTATCTCCCATAAATGTAAATGAACTTGTTCGTCTTAGCGGTTGGCTGAACAGGAAGTAGGACTGAGTGGACTTGTAGGCTCTAAAGTTTTAAACTGTTTTGTTTTTGAGTGGAGTTATATTACAAAAAAAAAATTACATTTGTAAGTTGCACTTTCACGATAAAGAGATTGCACTACAGTACTTGTATGAGGTGATTTGAAAAATACTATTTCATTCGTAATCAAAAATAATATAAAGTGAGCACTGTACACTTTGTGTTCTGTGCTGTAATTTAAATCAATATATTTGAAAATGTAGAAAAACATCCAAAAAAATTTAATACATTTCAATTGGGATTCTGTTGTTTAACAGTGCAATTAAAACTACGATTATTCGCGATTAATTTTTTTTAGTTAATCGCATGAGTTAACTGCGATTTATCAACAGCCCTAGTTATTAATATTAATTGTGTTGAGTATCTTGTCACCATTAACCTTTTTGGTGAAGACTGAAGCAGAATGTGCATGGAATACCTCCAGCCTTCTTGATGTCAGCAGTTATTAGTTCTCCTTCCCTACTAGACAGAGGACTTATACTTCCCTTCGTCTTTTTTTTTTTTTTTTTCTTAATGTATTATTAAAGAACTTCTTAATGCTTTTGATGTCCCCTGCAAATTGCAACTCATTTTGTGCCTTAGCCTTTCTGATTTTTGTCCCTTCATGCTTGTGCTATTCTTTTATACTCCTCTATAGCAATTTGTCCACTTTTTCCACTTTTTCTAGGATTCCTTTTTGATTTTCAAGTAATTAAAGAGCCCTGATGGAACCATATTGGTCTCTTACTATTCTTCCTATTTTTCCTTTGCATCATGATGATGATGATGATATACTAATTTCTGAAGTATCAAGTTATACAACAAAATAGAACTACTAATTGTTTGGCTACAGAGCTGAAAACCATGTCCAATTAACTGAAATGCTGCGCTTGATTTAGGGTTTGTCTAAATTAGGAAAAGAGATTAGGTTGCGATTAGCTAACATCAGACTTGATTTCTCTTTCTAATCTATACAAATTTTGAGAGGATCTACTCTTCCTGCTCCCTATAGCTGGATTTACATACTCTGTTCTGACACAGAAATATAATTTTGATCTCTTTGTATTTCCTACAGAGGGAATCTGTTTTGTTCAGTAAAATACTTTTTTTCATTATTTAGGAACTGGAGATGAAGAGGAGTATGTTGATGATTTCAACAGGTAAGAGGGAAAAATACTTATATTGCTACAGTGTGATATTTAATGTATAGTAAACATCATTCAGTTTTCTAGTTATATTGAACTCGAAGTAGGTTCAATCTTATCATGATCAGTTTGACAATGCTGCCATCTGTCTGCTATACATCTGTGAATATAAATCTTCTTTATACTTTCTGTAGGCAGGAGTGTCCTATAGGATGCTGACAAGCTTTAGGGGTTTTTTATCAAAGAAAAATATGCTCTTCTCAACAATGCAGTTTTATCATTTACTTTTTTATACATTTTAATTAGTATTTTTAGCTAACTGTCTGTATACGAGTCCAAATTGAATCTTGCATCTAGAAAACTCAGCAGCATGAAGGGAAGACAATTGAGCAATAATATTTAAGGTCCTGATCCTACAATTTACATGGCACAGCTTAATTTAGGTACTGTTGTGTTCTCAAATATTTTTATCATTTAAATTTCCTTTCTGTAAAAATTGGGCTATCTAACCTAAAGACTCTTCCCTATAGAGGTGTGAGAGTGTGGTGGGAATTCTTGTACAGCAGAAAAAGAAAATCTAATTATTTTCACCTTTATTCTTTTTTCTGTCATTAGTACCAGTCATCGCTCAGAAAAAAGTGACATCAGCATTGGTGAAGAAATAGAAGAAATTTCTGTGGAAATAGAAGACTTGAATGCCAGTGATAAAGTATGACTTTTATTGTGTGGACGTGCTTTTAATCTTTTATTAGATATTGTGGTTAGATGTTTGGCTGTCCTTTCTGGACAACTGTCATCACGTAATAAACACTTTAGGCACAGGTAGAAATAGTCATGCCATTCATTAAAACTGCCTTCTATTTATAACCATTCACTTATTGTTAGGGTTAGATTCTATACTGACTCTTTTTTTTTTTTTTTTTTTTTTTTAAAGGTCATTTGGTCTAACTGTGCAGTAACTAACAGTTGAGAGATTTTCTTGTAATCTTTTTGCATATGCTAGAGTTTTTATTAACTGCCTCAGTTGTGCTCATATTTTCATTATTCAGCGCTGGCTATCAAATTTCCATACCTCTGTCTGCATTGTTAGAGTATATGCCCTTTCTAAATCAGAACACTTTGAAGTATTTTTGCTGGGATTCTGTTGAACTCTGAGATATTAGAATTAATAGGTACTGCTACCAGCTGAATTGTTCTTTGGTGACAGCATGCTAACAGCCTATTGCCTACATCACCTTCCAAAAATTTTCAGTGCATTTTTAAAATTGTAAACAGGGCAAGTGACTCCAAATCTACTTGATTTAAAATATTTTTTTTTCTCATTTAAACCAATTGTTCTTTATTTGGTTGGAAAAATAAAGTAGTGGCATTAGGAGCCCAGTTCTATAAGGTACTTCTCATTAACTTAATGGGCAGTTGAATGCACACAGTATCTCATATGTTGGAATTGATACAGAATCATAGAATATCAGGGTTGGAAGGGACCTCAGGAGGTCATCTAGTCCAACCCCCTGCTCAAAGCAGGACCAATCCCCAGACAGATTTTTGCCCCAGATCCCTAAATGGCCCCTCAAGGATTGAACTCACAACCCTGGGTTTAGCAGGCCAATGCTCAAACCACGGAGCTATCCCTCAGGACAGGGCCATAAACTAGCAAGATGCTTTTTGCAGGACTGTATAGTTTAATAGATTTTGAAATGTAAATAAATATATATATATATCTTGTCCGGTTGATTTTGTTTTCTAGCTTGAAGACCTCACACAAGATCTTACCATTTCTCAGTTAAGTGATGTTGATGTTGCAGATTATCTAGAGGATGTGGCATAGAATTGGACAGTAGAGATGTTTCAAGTGCTGGATTGAGGACTCTTGTGGACTGCTATTTTCAGACAATCATTCTTTGCTGGAATGTCTGTTCCCTATTTGTGCCTTGTGTTTCAGAACGACTGGAGGTGTAGAGAGCTTTTATAAAATCATAGCAAGAACTGAATGAAATAGTTCGTTCCAGCTTGAGTCTAATATTGGAATTGTTGTTCTTTGTCTGGTTCAGCGAAACCTTTCACACAAGGAGTTGAACTTTTCCAGCTGGATGTCCATTGCTGGCGATGGATACACAAAACCATCGGTCTATAGGAGAACATAACTGAAGAACTTCTACACAGATGTATGGCTTTATAATGAATTTACACTGTTATGGTAACAGTCTGATTTTTAGCTAAGATAAGCAAGAAAACTTAAGAGTTACTGCTTCAACTTACTAAAAACTTCAGCAGTCTGTATGAAATTTAGATAATATCTAATAAATCTGCCTCAGTTCCTAGTCACTCCATGCCTACTTTAAGGGGTCAAGATTTTTCAGAAGTGACTAGTGATTTTTGGGAGCCCAACTTTAGAGATCTGTAAGGGGCCTGGTTTTTAGCATTTTCTGAAAATCAGGCCCCTTTAAGGTGTCTCCAGTTGAACAGCACAAACTGAGGCACCTAAAATCAGTAGGCACTTTTGAAAATCTTGGCTGAAGTATCTGTCAACTCTGAACTTTCTTGTTTTAATGTATTTGTCAGACCATTAACGTTACTCTAAACTACTTTTTTTGTGTGATAATTTCATTAATGTTAACAGCTGTTAAAATCCCAATAAAAATGTGAGATTCCCTTATGATCCACAGATCATAATACAGAATAGCAAAATTTCTGAGAAGAGCTGTTTAATGGTTTGTGGAATTCATGTTACTGGGCGGGATCTTAATTTGTATTGACTCACTTTTATTGTTTAAAATCCGTATTTGTTTTAAAAAAGAGCACCAAAAAAGTATGAAACAATTAAACTTCTCTCTGTATCAGAATCTAATGACTAATGAACAGTTTTAAACCCAAATATTTAAAAATAATACTGGGCCTAAGATATTGAACACACTAAGTTTTATAGCCAGGAGCACATTTTTGTATTTCCATTATCAACTCTTGAAAAACAGAGTCAGTAATGGAAACATTGACAGTTTCTTAACCATACTGTCATGCATAGCGCTGCTGTAGTATATAGGTCATGGACATTTGTAATACTGAAACAAGCCTTCAAAATGTGTATTTTTTGAGCATTGTTAAAAAAAAAATACATTGGAAAAGATGCATGTCAGTGAATATAAAGATAATCACCTTTTTGTAGGCTTTGTAATTTTATTTCTGGTAAACTACTAGCCATTTCAATAACAGTAGCATTCGAGACCATATCCACTGGTACAGCTTATAGAGCTGCTTTACTTTGATTTGAGTCTGACTTAGGCTCTTACACACTGAGCTAGCAGATGTGGGGCTGTATTGGAAGGTTATACTTGCACAGTAGGTAGATTATTTGAGGGCAGAGGGGAAAAATGACTTTTATTTATGTGCATCCCCCAAATAGCCAGCATAAAGCAACAGAACATGAGCATCTTCAGCATCTTACCTTGTTCCATAATGTAGCGGTCTTGAGCACAGAAGAGAGATTTCACCAGGCTCAGACCATCCCAGAATCTACGTGCCACAGTCTTGAAGTAGCAAAGACCTTGTAGCATTCACTATTGAGGTTGAGAAGAATTAAGATATGGGAGATCTTGTGCCTAGAATTACTACCTGTAAAGGAGGACATGGGAAAAATAAAGCAGCAGCACATCTGAGGGTGTATTCTTCCACTAAAACTTCCACCGGAGGCACTTAGAACATAAGAATGGCCATACTGCATCAGACCAAAGGTCCATCTAGCCCAGCATCCTATCTTCCAACAGTGGCCAATGCCTGGTGCCCCAGAGGGAATGAACAGAACAGGTAATCATCAAGTGATCCATCCCCTGTCGCCCATTCCCAGCTTCTGGCAAACAGAGGCTAGGGACACAATCTCTATCCCTCCTGGCTAATAGCTATTGATGGACCTGTCCTCTGTGAACTTACCTAGTTCTTTTTTGAACCCTGTTATAGTCTTGCCAGAGGCTGTTGTGAAGGCCAAAGAGTTCTACAGGTTGACTCTGCATTGTGTGGAAAAAAATGCTTCCTTTTGTTTTGTTTTAAACCTGCTGCCTATTACAGTAAAAGCTGTATTATCTGGCACTTTACCAACTGGAAAGCTCTAGAAACAGTCATTTCTAATATCTCCCAATACAAATCTTCAATCTAGTAACCGGGACCGATGCTGAAGCTATTCAGGACCTGAGTATTTCTGAGAGCAGTCAGACTACCATCGAGTTAGCCGAGAAGAGCCAAATGCTGTTCTTTTTGTTTGAATCTGCCATTGTGATCGGTTGGTTTATTACTCGGTACATTGTCCAGTTTTTATCGTAAAATATCAACGCAACCCTACCATTATGGCATCCAAAATACTAGCAAAAAGCAAAGGAGAGAAGCATAAGAGAATTGTGTTGACATTAAAACAGAAAATATCTATTTGTACATGTCTTGAAAAGGGCGAGAATAGGAATATTTATTCATTTTATTGTATTCTAATTCTTTGAAAATTGTCATTGGTAAGTATAACTCTTAGTTAACCGGAATTTTAATCAACATGTTTTGTAACAGTTTTTACTGTAATTTTATTTGGTAACCCCTAGTTCTTGTGTTATGAGAAGGAGTAAATAACACTTCCTTATTTACTTTCTCCACACCAGGCGATTTTCCTCAACCTCCCACCCCGCCATAAATTATCTCCCCCTTACTCTCACAAATATTATGGAGCACACAGCAAGCAGCAATAACAATGGGACTATTGCTTTTGCTGAGGTCTAATCTAAACGTTCAAAGGCACATTCTACCACTATTCTGCATTTGCTCAGGCTATAGTTGAACTGCTCCTTACTGCTGTCCAGGCTGCCTGGGTACGGCTTCATGAGCCATGGGAGCAAGGGGTAGATTGGGTCCCCAAGGATAACTATCGGCATTTCAACATCCCCAATGATAATTTTCTTGTCTGGGAAGAAAGTCCCTTCTTGCAGCTTTTTGAACAGCCCAGAGTTCTGAAAGATGCGAGTGTCATGCACCTTTCCCAACCATCCCACGTTGATGTTGGTGAAATGGTCCTTGTGATCACCAGTGCTTGCAGCACCATTGAGAAGTACCCTTGCAGTTTATGTACTGGTTGGCAAGGTGGTCCGGTGCCAAGATCAGTATATTCGTTCCCTCTATCGCCCCACAGTTAGGGAACCCTATTGCAGCAAAGCTATCCAATATGACCTGCACATTTCCCAGAGTCACTACCCTTGTTAGCAGAATGTTATTGATTGCCTGGGCTACTTGGATCACAGCAGTTCCTCCCCCCCCCCCCCCCGGTAGATTTGCACACTCCGAATTGATTCTCGACTGACAGGCAGCAGTCAGGGGTTGCAAGCTTCCACAGGGCTATTGCTACTTGCTTCTTAACTGTCAGGGCAGGTCTCATCTTGGTATTCCTGTGCTTCAGGGTGGGGGAAAGCAACTCACAAAGTTCCATGAAAGTAGCCTTATGCATGCGAAAGTTTCACAGCCACTGGGAATCATCCCATACCCACACCACTATGCAGTCCCACCACTCTGTGCTTGTTTGCCGGGCCCAGAATCGGCGTTCCACTATATCAACATTCCCCAATGCCACCATGATGTCCCAATTGTCACATCCCGTGCTTTCAGGAATGTCTGTGTCCATGTCCTCACAATCTTCCTCGTGCTGGCAGCGCCCATCTAGGCTCTGCACATACTGGAGGATAATGCGTGAGGTGTTTACAATGCTCACAAAAGCAGCGCTGAGCTGAATGGGTTCCATGCTTGCCGTGCTATGGCGTCTGCATGGATAACCCAGGAAAAGCGCAAAACGATTGTTTGCCATTGCTTTTAAGGAGGGAGGGAGGGTAGATGGACGACATGTACCCAAAAGCACCCGCGACAATGTTTTTGCCCCATCAGGCATTGGGAGCTTAACCCAGAATTCCAATGGGCAGCGGGGAGTGTGGGATAGCTACCCACAGTGCACCATTCCGAGTCAATGCTAGCCACGGTATTGAGGACGCACTCCGCCGACCTAATGCGCTTAGTGGGGACACGCATGATCAACTGTATAAAATTGATTGCTAAAGATCGACTTCTATCAAATCGACCTAATTTCGTAGTGTAGACATGCCCTTACTGAATTGCATATACAGTAATAGTTTGAGCTGCAAAATAAAGCTACAGCGCGGGCTGGATTGTATGTTTTGAGATTTCTTCATCTGCAAAACTTAAAAAGTTTGGGAATGGAAGGAGGTCACCAGGGTTTGCTTGCTTTTATTAAAACATAATTTACAAACATCAGCCCAAATTGTGTGCTGGGGAATATAGTTGAATATATGATTCTTAAGAACAAAACAAAAAAAGCCCACTGAATTCTGCATTTCCAGACAGAATGCTATTAATCATAGTATGACTTGTCAAAGTTGAGAATTAATGAACAAAAACTAGCATGTAGAGAGATTTGCCAAACAGTTGTAATTCTGTTTCAACACGACTGTCCCTGCTTCCCAAAATCAACTCATGTTTTGTGTCTCTAAATTGTTTAAATGAAAAGTGGGAAACTATAGCACAGCCATACATGTAGAAACTGACTGAGCCCTTTCCCCAAAGTGACTTTTTTCTAGCTATACTAAACCCACTCTCAGCTTTGTGCTTTTGAAGATTTATCCTGTGAAACCTCAGTAAACATAAATGCACTTAAATAGTGATACTGAGTACTAAAGAGAACCTTTAAATCCAGTTTAAAACTGTTTTTGGGGTAAATAGGCAAAAGATAGTTTAAAATACTTAACTGGCACTGACTAAATACTTTTCACCTTGGGGAATGGAATGAGTATTTTAGGAAGTATCTCTGGTTATTTTATTAAAAGCATTTCTGTTCAGCAAAAGGTGGAAGCTGGCTTAAATGTCAGCTTTCTGCATCATCTGTAAGCATTCCCCATTAATTTCAGTAGCTACCTGAGTCAGACGTCCCAGCCATAGATTATGTAAGTGTCTTCATGTGCCTTTTTGGTTTCCTTTGTAGTCAGTTTGAAGCTGAAAGCAAAACTGTTTGTTTCTTAAGATGCAGCTTCACTTGACTTCGGCTCGAGCTCAGTCACATACATCCAGGGGCAAAATTCACTATAAGGCAAAAGTCCAACATGTAAAATGTTGGGAATCACCACCATGACTACCTCTCCAAAAAAAGGGACCTGCCCATTGAGGCTCAATGCATAACCCAACAGAGTATGGCACTATTTGGTGAACATTTAAAGTGCCAGTTTCTCAATTCAACAAATGAATTCCAAGGAAAGCATTGAATTCTCCATATATTTTTAAAACCGCTCTCTGATATTTTATTATCGCTATTGTCTTAAGCACTGAGATACTAATAGCCATGGAACAGCTGAGATTTTAAATGAAAGTGAGGAATTTTAAATCTGTAAGTCTTATGA